TAGTTGTCATAACACAATTGATTTTCTCATTTTATGTCTTGGCTTTGTTGATAACAAATTGTAGGCAAGTTTTCGGATGCGACTCAATGTCAGGCATTTGCTCCGGAAGGGGGATGTTCGTCCAGTACAACCGCCGCCTTTGTTGTGGTGCTACCCACTTCGAATCTGTGAGCCCAGGCACAACTCCCCTTAAGTGCTTCGTAATCTCAAATTTGTCTTGTCATTCTATTGAGAAAACATTCTCGAGTAGAAACCATTTTGGTTTCGCCTCATTCATTACTCTTAAAGTCATAAAAAATAATCTACATTTCGGCCCGTGCAATCAATGTTCTCCCATCATTTTTTCCTCAACCTCATGCTTAGCCAGTTCCCATGTATTTTTCCCATGTTATTTTACCCAACTTATGTGTGTCATCCTCATTCGTCCTTTCTCGTATCCAGGCTTTAGAATGCACATTACTCAGTTCTTTTTTTTACATTTTTCTTCTGGCCTCTTGCCAGGCCTCTCTCATACTCATGCAAGGTCCATTATACCTGTATCTCTTTTTCGGGCGTCTTGCCAGTCTTTTCCTTAGGTCTACGCAAAGCCAATTTCACATATCTTTCTTTTCTGAACATCTTGCCCGACCTTTTCTTAAGCCTGCGCAAAGTCAATTACTCATCCATTCTTTTTTTCTGGACATCTTGCCAGGCCTTTTCTCAAGCCCATGCAACGTCACTTATTCATCCGTTTCTCTTCTGGACATCTTGCCAGACTTTTTCTAAAGCCTGCGCAAAGTCTATTACTCATCCATTCTTTTCTTCTGGATATCTTGCCAGACCTTTTCTCAAGCCTGCGCAAAGTCAATTACTCATCCATTCTTACGCTCATGGTATTCTTTTCTTTTGCACGCTTTTTCTTTGGTAGATGGCACACCTTCCCCTCACTCAAAATGCGATGTCCCCATCGCACGACTAGTTCTCACTCGGAGGTACGCAGACCTTGGCCCTCCAATTGAGTAGACGGATGATGGCCCTTCAACCCAAAAAGAAAGGGTGATCAGTCCTCCCCCTGCTGATAACTCATCTCATCCCCTACTCCAGTCCGACCTTTTGCTGCTTACGAGACGGACGTCATCACTGAGGTACCACCCCACATCTGGAAGGTAGGTCCAGTCCAAGCCTCTCAGGACCCCATCTTGCCGTAAGTGCTTTCTCGCGAATCGTTCCTCCCGAGCGGTGTTTTCTTGGATCCGGCCTCTTCCTTTCAAGAGAGTTGTGGCTCTTTATTAGTCTGAGAGTGCAGTTACGAAGACCTCGCGGTTAGTCCCGGAACGGTTGTAATGATCTGGCAGGTCGGTGTCACCCGCCCTGTGGTGGTTGCAGCTTCCACCCGGTACCCCGCCCGATTCCTCCCTCTTGACAGTGCTGCTCAACTTAACGCGAGCAGCCGTGGTCCATTCCAAACGGTCGTGTCGCCCCTCTTACGGGATAGCGTGTGGTTGGGGATAAAACAAGGAGACTTAGGAAAAAGAATGGCTCTCTCGCCCGTTTGGCACCACGTCCTTGACGTTTAGGTTTCAACATGAGGCGCAGTTTGAACTCCCCGACTAGAGCTCGTTGTCGGGGTTAGTTGCGGACGGCCAGCATCAATCAAGGAGAGAGGTGCTTTGGTCCTTCAACCCTTATTCCTTCTTATGAGGAGCAGGTCGCGCTGAGACTTTTCCCTTAACAGGTAGACGTCTTGGTGTCGCGATGCAGGCATTGCTATCCCCCTTATGTTGAGACTTTAGACTAGAAAAAAAGGAAAGCTCAATCTCTTGCAATTTCCATGGTTGGCCTGACGACCTTACATCAAGTTGCCTAGGGTCCCCTGGCTATACAATGCAATATCCAATCTTCAAACACTCAATCCGATGTTATTTCCAAGGCTGATTCTCATGGCTGGTCCGACAACCTCTCATCAACAAGGCCACCCACATGGCCGGTCTGGTGGTCATTTTCTCAATAGCCATTTCGCAAGATCGACCCTTCCACCCATTCAATCCTCAATTCTCTCATTCCTCAACACCCAATCTTTGAGACCGTCCCAACGGTCCCTGCCCTTCTTGACTCTAAGGTTCGGCGTTCTTTATTCTTGCCCTTCTCATTCACATCTTTCTTCCGCCCCCTTGGCTATTTCAGCGGCCGACCCACCTGCCTTTTCCATCTCGTCCATTCGTTCCATTGGCTATTTCAATGACCGACCCATCGGACTTTTCCCTCTCTTTCATCCATCCATTGGTTATTTCAATGACCGACCCATCGGCCTTTTCCATCTCTTTCGCTCATTTCAGCACATTCTCAATCAACCTTTCTCAATCCAATGAGCAGGGGACCCCAGTGCCTATTTCAAAAGGAATGACCCTTGTCAGGGGCCATTCCCGAACAACCTGGTTAGGGTCGTTATTTTCCATTCTCAAGTCGAACAGCCTGGTTAGGACCATTCCTTTCCATTCTCAAGTCGAACAGCCTGGTTAGGGCCATTCCTTTCCATTCTCAAGTTGAACAGCCTGGTTAGGGTCATTCCTTTCCATTCTCAAGTCGAACAGCCTGGTTAGGGTCATTCCTTTCCATTCTCAATGTTAGTGCCCGAGGGGGTGAGCCTCGAGGTTACGGATCTCATTTCTGTCTTGGAGGTTAGAAGGTGGCCATCTCATTTTTTGCGTGCTGTTCTCTTTCTTCCATTTCTCACAGTAATGTATCATCCATTCCATTTTTCACAGTAATGTACCACCTATTCCATTTCTCACAATAATGTACTATCCATGCATACATCCGACTTAGCGTCTAGCACTCGAGTTGGGGCTCGCGACCCCAAGCAGCACTAGCTCACCCGACCGTTCAACCATAGCCAGAGACAGGGGCGCCCCTTTTTTTTCTTCACTTATTCCGACGACTCAGATCTTGACCATTCTCAGACTAATTTCTGACTTGGTTGGATTAGGCTCCTAGGGAAGGAGTGTTCTTCATGCCCCTTAACCCATAGGTTCCCTAACCTTTCTTGTACTGGACCAATCATTCAAGGCCATGGTTCGCTCGTCAATCCGTAGTCAAGGTTTTTCCCCTCTCAAAAGCATAATCCTTATTCCATCCAGAATTCACAATACACCCTCTCCCAATGGGTCTCGTCCCAAATCCCATATCTTTGTCTTATGTGCCCAAGGTAGCTCATCCAAAAAGTAGCCTAAAAAACTATCTTCTATCTTATCGTGACATAGCCTTGGCTGACCCTCTTTTCACTTCATCCTTAACAAGTTTGCCCATACTGTACATGTTCTCGTCATTCTCATGTCTCCGCAAACAGAAAAACAGCAACCCTTTTCAATGCTAAGTCAACACCTAGTTCCTATTGCTGCCTTGCGCCTCGTCTTGCCCAGTTCCTTGTCCACCCTGTTCCTTGGCAGGCTTCCTAACCCCCAGGCCGTAGGTCTCGATTTCTCTCTTCTTTCTTGCAATTCCCTGTAGTTCAATTTCACTGAAGAAGTCCAGCGGCGTAGCTTCCACTCCCGCCTTTGCCAGTTCCCGGGTCTTGATAATCCATTCGTGCCTGATCACATTGGTCCATTGCTGAAACCAATGACTGGGTGTTGGTCCAAAATCGTCCTCCCATCCGAAAGCCCCGTTGCCCGGCTGGTGCATCGGAGGCCACCCTTCTTCCCTAGGCCTTGAGATCTCATCCCTCTCATCCCCGCTGCTGATTTCTATGACTTCTCGTACATCCTCCTCCTCGTCCTCCTCATCTTCTGTCTGTATGGGGCTATACCCACCTGCAAGGTTCTTCGGATCGTAGGTAAGAGGAATCTCTGTCCCCATCTCATACCCCTCACAACTGTCGTGGCCGCTTTGTCCTTCAAGCGGGCTTTCCCTTCTCTCCTCATTCTCCTCATGTTCGTTGCGCATGTCTTGTCCCCCCTCGCTTTCCCGATGCCAAATCTCACGTCATTTGCCCCTGTTGGCTCCTTCCTCGTCAGAGACCTGAACCTTTTCTCCCATATCTGCATTGCCCCCTTCTTCCACTTCTGCCTTTCCCTTTCCTCCCTCACTTTCAGACGAGATTTCTATGCCTTCTCCCTCGCGGAGGGGTGAGGGTTTCCTACACAAGCATTTCCTTCCACCCCTGCCTACCACTGGCCCACCCATGAGCCCTATATACAACTTTCTCTTTTCCGCCCTCCTCCCTTGGATTGTCCTGCTTCCTCCCCTCTAGTAGGCCTGTTGATTGCCCCGCTGTCGTTCTCGTTGCCGAATTTCATCTTTTTTTTTTTTTTAGACCCTGTATACCAAAACAACACCCGCAAAGCCCCTCATGCACCCATTTCCCCAGTCTGGAAGGTAGTCCCCCCCCCCTTTCCAGAATGCTCCCAACATCCTTCACAGCACGCCCCTATTATACATGTGAATGCGTCGTTTCTGATGACCTCATTTTTTTTTTTCCGTAAAAAACTATGGTACAATGCCCCAAACATCCCTTCCCGTCGTCACACAAGCCAAATATTGCAACCCCCCAAGTCATGCTGCCTTTCAACCTCAGTCAGTCCAAACCAAGAGCACCAGTCCCCAAAAAATAACAGTCTCATGAACATGGTCAGAGACAAACCATAGTGTGGGCAAGGCTGTGGTCAGTCTTTAGCTTGTGGCTCCTCAGTTTCCTTATCTTCGGCCTCCTGAAGCCATTGTTCCACCAGGTCCCGCCTTAGAAACCTGACCAATCGTTGCCTCGGGAAGGGCCCTTTCAATCCAGTTTCATCCAAATCTTCCAGTTCGAAGGTGTTCAGTCTCACCCGCTTAGCGACCCTGTAGGGGCCTTTGCACCTCCTTCCCAGTTGTCCTGACCAAGTACTTTCTAGTGTCGAGTTCCTTAGCAATACCATCTCCCCCACTTGAAGTGGCTCCTTTCTGACATTCTTAACCTGGTCCCACCTTGCTTTGTCCCTCATTCTGCTGTCTAGTACGAGGTTGGCGATGTCTTCCACGACCTCCTCGTTCTTAAGGATTTGTTGACATCTTGCCTCGATTAACTCTTCAGTAGTCATTTGCGGATCATCATCTAACCTATTTCAGGTAGGCACCAAAGCTTCCACAGGAAAATCGATCTCTCTTCCGTACCAAAGTTCCGTCGGGATACATCCTGTTGTCCTTTTAGGGGTCATATTCTCCGCAAAGATAGCCTGCTTAAGATACCTAGGCCAGTTCCCCAGATGGTCTGCTGCGAGTTTCGCAATCGTGTTCTTCAAGGTTCGGTGCCCCCTTTCCACAGGTGCATTGGCCTCAGGGTGATACGGCTCGATAAGTTTGATCAGTACGCAGAGTCTCTTAAGCATCCCCAATACTTCTTGGTTCACAAACTCGGTCTCATTTTCTGCTATAAACCTCTTGACGAACGGATGCCTCAAGTAGAAGTCTTCTATCCAGTCCGCCACACCCCTCCCTGTTTTTTGCTTGAGGGCGACCGCCTCCACGAACCCACTCAAGTTGTCTCGCGCATCCAGGATATACCTATACCCATCCGTTGATACAGGATGACCGCAAGGTCGAGGTGGACCAGATGTCCTGGCCCTAGCACCCGCGTTGGTCTAAGCGGCTCGAAGACCCGCACCGAGCTTCGTTCTTGGCAAATAAGACAAGTCTGGCAGTATATGGCGACCATGTCTGCCATGCCTGGCCAATAATAGAGTGGCGTCATCTTTGCAAGCGTCCCTTTGGACGACCGATGACCTCCAGCCAACCCATCGTGCATTGCCTGGATAACGTCTACTTGCCTAGATCTTCCGCACACAACCCTTCTTGGCATAGCACCTTCCTCCCTTCGGAACAAATGCCCGCCCCTTAGGACGTACCTTTCGCCTTCTTCTCTTGCTTTAATACTAACTTCCGTAGGTTGTTTGTTTCCTACCAACAACAATCCGATCTCACGAAAGAGCCATTCGTATAATTGGACATAGAAAAACTCATCCCCTTCCTGGCCCCTATCCTTTCCTTCCTGCATCTGATTTACCACCCATTGCAATTCCTTCCTTTCCCAAGATTTTACTAAGCTCATTACTGCTTCCCGGCCTCCCTCGACCGCCATTGCTATCAGTTCCTCTTTTGACCCTACTATCGCTCCCCATAAGTCCTTTACCTTGCTGCGTCCTCGAGTGGTGACTGGTCCTTCTCAAGTTCTGCCACTACCGCAGGTGCCCCCTTCTCCAAAGTCCGGATCAATAGCTCTCTCGATGCACATTTTTCGTTCATCATTTCGTTATCCACCGCAAGAGTTCCTCCTTCATATTCGAGGAACGCATCTATGGGCTCCGCATCCTCCATCCCTTCGGGAGTGATGCAGACCCGGCTCAGCCCATCAGCCTTGTTCCTAATTCCCGCAATCTGTTCGATCTTATAATCGAACTGCCAGATAAATCCTACCCATCTCCCTACGGTCGGATCTATAGGCCTGTAATTCTTTAAGGCCCCTGCAACATTCGTCGGATCGATCTTTAGGATGAACCGCCTCCCAAATAGGTAGGCCTGAAAGGTCTTGAGGCAGTGCAAGATGGCTAGGACCTCCTTCTTGAACTGCGAGTACCGCCGCTCTGCGGAGTTCAGGGTTCTACTTTCGGACCTAGTCGGCCTCTCTTTTCCTCCCTCATCCCTTTGAATCAACACGCCTCCTACAGCTAAAGATCCTCCATCCGTCTCTAGGATGAAGGGTCGTCCTACTTCGTCATTAAAACAAGGCGCGGACAGGGTGACTGTCTCATATGTCAATATGTCCTTGGGCTTTTGGACAGCTTCTTCTCGCTCCTCCGTCCAATCCATGGTTCCTTCTTCCCTGATCATAGCCCGGATAGGCTCAACAATCTTGGCAAAGTTCTTAATGAAGGTCCTCCAAAAGTCGACTACGCCTAGGAATGCCCTTACCTCCGTCGTCGTGCGCAGCGGTGTCAACCACTGCGATATCTTGTCCGTTTTCGCCGGATCTGGCTTTCTACCGTAAGCACCACAGCGAAATCCTAGTACGGTTAATTCTGGTACTGCTAGAATACTCTTTGGTCCACTAGCCATGATGTTGTATACTAGGAACCGGTGGAGCAAGTCCTCGATGTCTTGTAGATGGTCCATACAAACTTTCGGATTCCCGATGGACTTTTGTCTCGTCCTTCTCCTGTGCACCTTTGATCGGATTGTCGTCAATATAGGGCTCACACTTTTCTGGAAACATGTCCCCGGCCACGACGAGCATTCTGCGTTGCGCTTCGGCCACCGCGTTTGTGAATCCCATAGGGGTCACTTGCATCTGTAGCTGGCCTACGGGGGTGTGCGTAGCGGTGTACGGCCTGTCCTGAACATCCAACGGAAGCTGGTCGTACCCTGAGTACAGATCTATCAGGGAGTCAATGCTCCGACCGGCGTGCGATTCTACTAATAAGTCAGCCTGAGGTAGCGAGTCAGCATCCCGGATGGTTACCGCATTTAACTTCTGCAGATCCTGAATCCACCTTAGTGTCTTGTTAGGCTTTCGAAAGACGAACCACCGGTTTGCGTATGGCGACGCCGTAGGCTCCGCAACGAAGGAGTCCATTTTTGCTCGGAGGAGGTTTGTCACTTCCCCTGCTATCCCAAATTCATAGGACGGCCCCTTGTCATTCCAGCACTCATGTCCTACCGTGTGGATTCTGACCGGAGGGATCAACTTTGCATCCAGTCGTCCCTTCTGGTGATCACTAAAGGCAAATGCCAGGTGAAACTATTGGCAGGTCTTTTTGATCAGGCGGATTTCCTCTTCCATTAAGAACCCGTCTATCCCTATCTTCATTGTGTCAGCTACCTTATCTGGTGTCCGATGTCCCTCCATCTCCCTTTTCCATAGCCTCTTCCTTTGATGTGTCTAGCATGATCGAGACCGGTTTTGCTTTCTTCCCTACCGGCTTGTACTTTCGAACACTTCCTTCCGGAATCTTTCTCCTAAAAAATGAACAGTCGGAATCGCCCTCGTTGCCTCTACGACTCGTGGTTGAATACTAACTAGTTTCCCATTCAGGCAATATCCCTTTTGCACCTCTCCTTCGAACTTGGCCAAGGCTGCTGAGTTCACTCCTACCTTGTGGTATCTGAGAGCCTTGATGAGTTGTAACAGATCGGGGATCTCGAGTGCGACTTCTGGCATGTCTATGTGTACTTCTTTCCATTTGGACAGGCTAGCACCAAGTTCGACCTCTGACTCCTTTTCTGCTACCATAACCCCTAGGACTTCGCCCTCCTGCCTCCTCTTCTTCTGGGGCAGGCCCATTTTGATCCACTCCCTCTTGTTGAATGCCTCCTCAATCATGATGTCTACCCTTTCTCTCATACCCTCCATCCGTGCGAAAGCCCCTTTTCGCGTGCTATCCTCGAACGACGGCGACCATGTTGCCAATTTCCCTCTCAGGGGGTCTCCGCCTGTTCCAAGGAGTCGGAGGAGCTCTCCCGGGCCGGTTACTGGGTCCTCTATGTCTACCATGTATGAGCCATCGTGCAAGTGCATGCCTATCATCTCCATGTTCGCGTACCACGGTCTCCCGAGGATTATGTCGTGGTCCATTTCCTCCATTACGGTCATCCGCTGAAACGACTAGATCGATTCCCTGACTCCTGCCTTTACAGCACATTTCGTGACGTACCCAGCGAACGGGATTTCCCCGCCAACTCCCCGGATGCTCCCTGTTACTTCCTTGTTTACCGTACATCCCGTGATCGTTGCGAAATCTCTTCTTATGAGAGTGATTTCTGCTCCCCCGTCTACTAACGCGTCGGTATGACGAATCCCGATCTGGATTTTCAGCTTCCCTACCGGCAGTGCATGAAAACTAAGCTTTGTCCCGGGTGGTGACCTCATGACCTCGCCGCCCTCTCGGTCGGGCAACCTCAAACAAATGTCCGCAAAAACTTTCTCGAGATCCTCCAAGTCCCCGTGACTTCGCCGTAGGTTAGCCACTTCTTGCGGAGCTTCCTCCTCCCTCTCCCTTTCTGGTATTTTGGGGTTGTCGCTTATTTCTACTCGCCGCCGCGTCAACAATTGTCTAAGCTCTTTGAGCAGCCTAGGGCTAACCTGCAGCATGGTCTGAAAAGACACCGAGACCATGGTTCCTAGTAACTTGCTAATGGCGTCGTCGATCTCAGGCAAGGATAAAATCAGGATTTGGTACCTAAACTTCTTCTCGGCAGCGGTAACTTTGTCTGTAGGCTCCTCTTCCCTAGGTTTCTCATAGACCTTTTCCGGTACCTTGGCCTCAGGCTCTGCTTGGGGTTCCGAACTTCCAGCAACCTCCTCCATCACGGCATCGCGGTTAATCCTTCTCCTGACCGTCCCTAGTCGAGTGGTTGTGTTCAACCTATCACGTCCGTCGTTTTCCAAAATAAAGTTGACCTGTGGCCCGCACCCCCGGGGTTGATCCCAGATGATCTCGCCCACCGGCTCGGCTTCTACGGCCGTTATTTCTAACCCGTTGAGCATGATGATGGCTCGCCGCATCCCTCCTGGTGAGTTCCAGTTCACCTGTTCCCCTTGTGGTCTAAATATCTCCCCTTTTAATGACCTGGTACACCTTCTTTTCAGAATATCATGGTTGAGCTTTGGGCACGCGCGCACATAATGTCCCCTCGCGGTACAGTACTTGGATTGCTCGTTAGCAGGATCTCTTCGTCCGAATCCCCGGTTGGCTACACCTGGCGGAACCACAGCTTCTTGGGGAGGAAGAGAGGGTCGAGACACCTGTGCCTGCATAACCAGTAGCGCGCCCTCCATCCTTTCAATTTTATTGTCGACCCCGTGCACCCGCTCAAGTAGGTTTTCAATCCCCTTTTTAACCTTGTCGCCCGCTCTACCGGTCAGATCTATGACCTCACCTTCCTTAAGCAAGACCAATGTCTCGGTCACTACCGACTTTTCGGCCAGATCCGTTACCGTACTGAAATCAACATCCCTAGTGTTTACAAATTTGCTCGTCTATTAGTAAACCGACAGGATCTTGTCCTTGTCGAACTCGGAGAACTGTCTGAGGAAGTACTTACTCATTATTCAGTCCGTAACCCCGGGGATTCTTAGTGCTACCAAAGTAAACTCCCGTAGGAAGTCATTGTACGTCGCAAAGTTCTTCCTCTGGTCTGCCGCTAAATCGGCCTCCGTTGCCATCTTCTCTGCTACAAGATACTTTCTCATCATCACATCCCGGGTTTCTTTCCAAGACCGGCTCACGACTACGATGACCATTATGTCCCGTCCTAGGCTCAAAGACACATGTTGCCCCAGGTGGTCCATCTTCTCCTCTTCGGTCCATTTCAACAGCGCAGCCAGATTCTCGTAATCTATCAGGAATTGCGTGATGTTTGCCCCATCAAACGTCAATTTTTTCTTAGCATCCACTAGGTAGCCTTGATTTTTGTTTAGTGCTCGCGCGAGGGACGACACTATCTTCTTAAGGCCGCCCTCGGAGCTGCTGGCCTCGCCTGCAATACTGTTATCCGGACCTTCCTTGCCGGCCTTCTGTCCCTCCCTGGTTTTCGTAGTTCCTTCTGGGTCAAACCATCCCAACACTCTTTCCCTAAGGCTCCAGAGTCCTTCGCACCCTCGCGTTACTGCTGGCGAGGTTGGCAGGAGGCTAGCCCTACTATCTATGGCTGGCGGGGTCGTAGCCTTTTCCGCTTCCATCCCCGGAGAGTTCTCTCTCTCTTTCCTTCTTTTGCTCGGCGTTCCCCCACGGTCACTACCTTTATCCCCTTGTCTTGTCCCACCTCGGCCGGTTTTCCGTTCGTCCCGGGGTTCCTCCCGCAGAGGGCCCTCTTCGTTCCCAGTCATAATTTCCTCAATCAATCTTGCCTTGTACTCCGCGGTCTTTTTTTCTATCTCGGCTAGTTTGCGCCTTGTATCCGTGAGCCTTACTTTCTTAGACACTGCTCCTTCCGAGTTTCGGGGGCTTGCCCTGTCCTTATTTCTGCCCTCCTTGGTCTCCTGAGTCCCTTGCCTGCTTCCCCCGGCTTTCCCTGAGCTTTCCCCCGAGGAGATCTCCTTCCGGTTCCCTTTGGTACCATCCGGATTTATCAATTCTCTGTCCTTCTGCCCCTCTTCGCTTTGTACGGCGCTGCCTCCTAAGCCTGGTCCTCCTTCACTCTTACGGTTATCAGCCCCTTCTTCTGTCGCCATATTTGCCTTCTGCTGCATAACCAAAGGATCCCCTAGAACAAACGCAGTGCGAGGCATTTAAGTTCCCTAGGTTCCAATCCTGTTGGTTTATCCCTTTTATTTGGTAATTAGGCTTTTTCCCTTTTCCATTTCCTGATGACTTCCTTAATATGGAGCCGCATCCAGCTCTGCTGCCTCACCGAGCTAAGGGCGTGGCCTAGCTACCCTTATCACCGGCTCGTTTAGAGCGCCCTTATTCTGTTGGTTGGTGCGTAGGGGTCCGGGTTGAGCAACCTGCTAGAAAAAGTTTTTCTGCGCAGTGTTCCCTGTCCACTGTTATTGATCATCCGGGTCCGACGCCCCCCTTTCCTATCTCTGTTGGTGAGTCCTTCGAACGTAGCGGACTTTACTTGATTTGCCCTACAGGCTCGCCTGCGGGTGCAGGCTCGCCTGCGGGTGCTAGTCCCGTTCTCGCCCTCGTGGCCCTTCCGGTTCGGTAGGTTCCTCGAATAGTTCAGCCACCCCTGCTAAATAACTCTCTCCTATCTCGATTTCTCTTTTGATTATGCGTTCTCATCCCGCCCAGTCTAGTCGTGGCGCCCTAAACATTAAGATGTGGATGACTTCTAGTAACTCGTGGGCCCTGTTTCCTCAGAACGGCCCATGTTCCACAGCGACATCGTAGAACATCCCAATGGTAGGGGAGGAAAAGTGGCCTGCCCAGACTATCGCTGAGTCTGCCAGCTCCCGCGCCCTTGCGAGGCTTCCAAAGACGAGGTCTATCATAAAGCAGGGCACTCAGCATCTCAGCGGTGTTGTCGGTGCCCTKAACTCCCTCCAACCTCCCATTTCCACTCGGGTAAGTAAGCCCACGTTCCTTCTACCCCTGACTGATTGTCCTATCCGGGTCAACGTCCGGGCGGCCCTTCGAAAGATCGGTGCCAGCTCATGGCCTTGTGCTATCTCTACCCCCAACGAGTGTCAGCCAATCTCAGGCAGATACATGGTCCCGGTAACTTCCAGATTGGAATACAGATCGTCCCCAGGTCCTCGATTGAGTCTTATCCCTGTCCACCGACATTCTACCAACATGAAGGCGGCGTCCCGTCCCAAAGTCACGGCCCGCCATTCTATGTCGAATCCCCGATAGGTGGAACTCGACGGGAGGGATACTTCCCATCGTCCACCGTTATTCCAAGGTGGTCCGGGGTACCGGGGCTGGCGTTCCATTCGCACACGGGGCTGGCGTTCCATTCGCGGATGTCTTGCTGCCATTGTCACCTCGGTGATTCCCTGCATAGTCCACATAGAAGGGGTTACAACCAATCCTCATAAACCGCCCACCTACTGCCTCCCTTGCCCTTCGTGTTTTCATTCCTCTTTTCTAGTCCAACTATCCTTCCATACCCTTGGGAGCAGTAGCCTCCTCTGGCTGTTCGTACAACCGGTAGAGATCATCTATGCAGGTCGCGCCCCGACCTACCTCTCGCCGGATGACTCTCCACATGGTCTCATCACTTATTTGAGGGACTCCCGGCCTAGTATTTACTACTGCTCGTAGAATGCAAAGCACATCGCGCCCCTGTTCATCCCCCATCTCTAGGAAGGCCCGATAGTATTCCCGATACATTAATGCTTCGTCAAGATTTAGCCTAGTTACGGCAGTCACCGCCTGCTCCACTCGTTCTATGCCTCCCATTAGCCTTAGCAGAAAAGGTGGTAGACTTATCCGTACGACCTCATTGGGCAACTCAAAGATCCCTGCCGCGGCAACTTTTACATCGACCGTCAAGTCGTCTCGTTCTAGGATTGTGAACTCAAACCCCTCTCGCCAAGTTATTTGTCATGCTCCCTCAAACATTCGTACAGGGTCATCCCCGGAAGCCAAGGCAATCCCAAAGGTCCGCCACCCTTCTTCCAACAGGTGTAAGGATCCCGTCGCATGCACTCGCCCTGGGAGGTCAAAATCTACGCCTCCAAACTCCCCTCTCGCACGCCATTCCAGCTCCACTACTAGGTACACCATGTCCTCCACCAACTCTACCCCCACACAGTCCATTACCGGATTGCTTACCGCATTTTTGGCCGGCAGGCTTATTTCGACCCTGCCTTCCGATACCCTTGGTGGCAGGATCCCGCGAGGTCTATCCCCCCCAGAAAGTCATTCGTCGGGCCATGTTGGACGCCTCCTTTCCTGCTTCCTTAGTCCGATTGCTGCACCCACCGAGATTCCATGCCTTTCGTGTTTTAGTCTTTCAGCCCTTCCCTACTTATCGTACATTGGTTCTTGCTGCTATCCACGACCCATACACATAAAATTCTACTCTCCTCCCCCTTTTTTCCGGTTGCTGTCACTTCCTCCTTCTTTCGATCCTTATGCACCATATACGGCCTAATGCATACACTTTCTTATGTTACACCTCAACTCACAGGTATCCTTCATACCCCCGGCCTTTTCGCGGTGTTCAATTCCTCGGCCCCATTTAGTCGAACCACAACACCTCAAATAGTTTAAAGACATCGTGTACTTAGGAGGGTGTGGTCGCCGCCTCCCAGCTAACTATGGCGTCCCAAGATTCCGCCTTTACCTCCAGGCGATCATACCTGCTTATTCTTAAGACGATGACGACTTCCTCGGCTTTATCTCCGTAGAAGGGACCATATTTCAATGCGAGCCTATAGAACTCCTCAGTCAGCCAGACAGACTCTATATGCACCCTTCTCATGGAGTCGGCTACCTCCAAAATGTGTTCAAACCCTCAAAACCACTCGACTATGAACTCCGGTACCCAAGCCGTTATCCGTAGACTTGGAGGCTTAAGTTCCTTCCATCTTCCCATCACAACTCTGCTACTAACTTCGTCCCATCCCTCGTTGGCGAACCGCTTGCCTTCTTTTCGGGTTCGGGCCTCTGCGTCCCCTAGAAGCCACATCGGGTCCTGTTCCATTGCTAACATAGTGCAAAACAGGTGCCATCCATCCTCGGAAAGGACAATCGTTCCGACTGACTCTACCTTGGCCTCTGCTATATCATCCCAACCTTCCACTTCCCTTATCGGGTTTCAAATCCGCTCTATCCATACATATCACAAGTCCCGGGCGGCCTCAAACCCAATCAAGTCGCACGTGGTCCCCCTCCATTCATTTTCTGTCGGTATAGGCATTTCTATTCCTCCTCTGAGTCGCCGTGGTTCCCAACCTTTGAAGGTGTATTCCATCATCCTTTCTTCTCTAGTCATCTTCCCCTTTCCTGCACAATACCAGGCCACCCGTCCTTCCTAAGTTAACTTACCCCACCCTTCTTAGAAGTTCCACTTCTCTATCTCTTCATCTTCGTCTTCATCACTGAAGTCGTCCTCCTCGCTGTATAACAACCCTCTTACCCCATCCAAAAACGTCTCCCCTACTGCCACATTCCTGTAGACTATCCCCTAATGCACAGAGCTAGGGACAAAGATATTATCTACGCTAAGGCAGTTTAGTATCTCGGCCAACTCATCTGCCCAGTTCCCCTCGAACGGCCCCATCTCTACCAATAACCGAAAGAAATCTTGCCTAGCGCATTGGTATAGCCCGAGGTTCGTCATGGACTGGCATATCCGTACTACCCTGCTCCGAGTTCCGAAAACCGCATCGACTAGGAAAGGGGGCAGCACACATCGCATGGTTCTTACGGGTCGCCTCATTCTTCCTCTATCCCCAAGTTCCACCCGCACATCTACCTTTTCCATTTCCATCTCCCTTCGCTGACATGCAGCCCACACAACCTCTGCTTCCGCCTTCCTAAACAACTTGTCCGACGTATTCCCGAGTGCTAACTCTATGACCATAGCATTTTCCCCTTCTTGCGACAAGTAGACACACCCCGGAGCTTCCACTATTCCCCGGAAATCCAAATCCATTAAACTTGGCGACAACCTTGTCAAGCTAACATTAGCCCATACTGTATCTATCCATAGGAACGCGTCCTTCCCTTCTAGCATCATAGTTTGATATGCTGGTTCAAGGTCCGTCCACGCCCCATCTTCCGGGAGAACGACCGACACCCCATCCTTTACGTCTACTGACATCTCTGGACCGCTGGTATAAGTCGGGGGAGACAACCATCGCGCCATCTTGTTTCCAGCACCCGGCCCTTGTTTTCATGAAAGAGTACCAACCGGTTCTTCTGGTTAGGTCAACCCCCTTTCCTAAATGAGGATTATTTCAGACCCCTAATTAAGGTCTCCCTATTTTACCTTCCCATTCCTAAGTACCTCCTTCCCATAATTCCCTCAGCCGGCTATCCATTTGGCCACATTCTTTCCCTTGGTTCTATTCCAATTGACCTCTATCCTCCTTCCGTCCGATCATCTCTCACTTGTGTGGACTTAGATGGGGGGGGGATAGACTTAGAAATATGTCTCGTCCAACAGTCCAAGCTCAATCAAATTTTACAGAGGGGGAACACATAAAAAAATCACGAAATTTCACATACGGGTTGATCATCTCCTCACCAGCCACCTCAATATGGTCTCTCCTGATACTATCGGTAGAGTTTTATCCCATACCTCAAGCGCAGCTCAACCGTCGCGAGCGCGGTACCCAGGTCTCGGGAAGGCATTCACCCTTTCCTCCTTACCCAGAATACCCCATCCCGTCTTGCCGCTTTGCACATCCATACCGACACCGAGGGTTACCTCGAGTGCCTAAATACAGGGACAAAGTCAGTCGCCCGGGCATTCACTTCCATCGGTCCGACAAGAATCAGCCTTTCCCGAAACCATGCTACGAAAAGTTACTAATCGCCTCCGAGGCTCCGTCTTTGTCCGCATGCAGTGGTACTCCCTCTGCCAGCCAACAGGCTAAGCCCCGCCTGAGGAGATTTCACACCCCGTCCGACAGATCATCGAGCCAAAGCCCGTCACTGCTCGAACGAGAATGCTACTAATCAACCGACGTGACAAACTCCCGTCCGACAGCTCGGTGGCCTGACCTCCACAAACGAACACACGACAACCTACAAAAAGAGAACGACGTTTGACAACCCGTACTGGCCGGTGCAGACCAATCCTTTCCTTCCGAAAGGCAGGACGCTCGAATCCCATCATGCAAACACAAGTCCCAAGTGGGACACACATAATACAAGTGCCTTTCCCTTGGTGCACCCAGCGCTTCCTACCCATAACTCATAGATTTTCTCTCAGGACAATGAGTGTCACCCCCCC